CAGCTGTTTACCATTTCCTCTTTTCTGCTCAACAAGAATGGGAAAGAAAAGACGAATGGTGTGTGTGTGTGTGTGTGTGTGTTGTGTGTGTGTGTGTGTGTGTGTGTGTGTGTGTGTGTGTGTGTGTGTGTGTGTGTGTGTGTGTGTGTGTGTGTGTGTGTGTGTGTGTGTGTGTGTGTGTGTGTGTTGGGGTCAGCCAGTGCTTTTGGCACATAAGGGTGGTATTGGTGGACTTACCTCCGTTTCATTCATCCTTAGAAACTCTCTTTCTCTCTCCTTCCAGCCTTTTATTTTGCCCTCCATCCTGTCTCTTGAATATTTATTTGATGTTTTGCTTCGCTGTTTCACTTCCTGTGTTGGACTCAGGGCACCAGTTGCGGTGAAAACACTGATACTGGGTCGCAAAGAGTTTAAAGACCTGCTGCAATTTGCAAACCATCACAGATTCATCAAGCCATTTGTTCAAGAATTCATTTCATTCATTCATTCTGTTTACCAGTGATTAAATCAGCTACTCATCAGCCTCTCATTTGCCACAGTGACCATGCTATAATTCAGTACATAATCCATAATCAATTGTTAAACAATGGGATGTTCCATTGTTTTGATCAATAAATAAATACTGCATGTAATTACACTTCAAATGACTGCTATACTTTCAGGATTTTTTTTACAATAAATAAAAAGAATTGTGCTATTTAAGTACTACTTCATCACATTACATGTTAATAAAAATGTGAATGTAAACCTGATTATGCATGCAGATGATCCTAAGGTTTCTGATAGAGGGAATGTAGCACATTGTACAGCAAGTGCATCAACAGAATTTTCTTCTGCCACAAGTCAGAGTTCATCCAGCAGGTGGCAGCAGGTAACAGCTGATAACTTTTATTTGCAGGCAAAAAGGACTGATCTCTCTCTCTCTCTCTCTCTTTATGTGTGTGTATGTGTGTATCCTATTCTTCTTTCTCATGGGGAAAAGAGCTGCTCACCTGAAAAAGTGATGAACAAATTACGAAGTCAGATTAGTGGTAATAACAACACACAACAAAATAAAATGCACCTGAAGGGAATTCATATTGATAGTGACCTCAGTGACCTGACTGGTTATCACTTAGTTTAGAAAAAGTACAACAAACAATGAGTACAAATATTAGCATTACAAATATTAGAATTGAACTCAGTTAAACGATCAGAATGAAGAAATATGTCATAATGTAAAAGCTAGAAACTTTAACCTGTTGGTAGCGCTACATGAAAGGTCTGGGGATCAACAAAATCATTATGTTAGGTTTCATCCACTGGTAGCCATGAATGTGCTACAGCAAATTTAATAAAAAAAAAATCCATCCAATAATTTCAATCTGGACTGACCAACCAACCAACCGAAACTCCCACTCCTAAAGCCATGGTGCTAAAAATAGTACACACTCAGTACACAGAGTGAGGAAAAACGACTCTGTCAGTCACTCTGAGGCTCCAGAAACTGCAGGAAATAATATAAAACCTCTTTTTGGTGAAGGAAATGCCACACTAGAATAGTCTTTATATTTTAATATTGCTAGGTAAGAGACAGTGGTAACTCAGACACATCAATATAAACATGTGAGGCTATAGAATATGATTGCTTGATTGTTGATGAAGTGCATCTGTGAATGAGCCACACTTAGGGGGATATATCTAAGGGAACAGTTATATAAACCTACAACATCTCACTGGTACTCAATAAGAAACATGCACAATATAGATTAAAAAATGACAAAAGCACACAACATGATTAGAGAAAAAAAAATGCTAAGGGGCATATATGCCCAGGGATATCACTGAATACACAATGTATGTTTAAAGCTCAAAACTATCCCGTATGTAAGGGCTTACAAACATAGGTATGTACACAGTACAGAAAGGACCCAGACATTTTCTGCAAAAGGAGATACTTAAACACAATCTATATCATTCAATGCATCTCAAAGATCTGAATTCAACATTAATAAGTATGAACAGTGTAAAAATTGAACTATGTGTAAGAGTTATGTAATAAGTATTTAGAGATCATTTAAACAAGAAAGATATGAAGAAAGGTCTGCTGATACCTAGTTTCAAGCCATACAACCTGGTTATAGAACATATAGAAAAATACAATATATACAAAATACAAGGTTATAGAAAATAACCTTAAATATATTTGGCGTCCTGCTGCTTGAGTGTACAGTAAATGCATGAAGTGTAGTTTATCATAGGGAACTGCAAAAATAAAATAAGAATAATGACATTTTGTATATTACTCTTGAATGAGCAGAGAACTGTACAATGAAGGAATAGATAAAGAAAATAATTGCCAGATAAGCATATGGCCTAAAAAAAAGTGTGATTCCATTTAGTTCCAGATGTTTTCAGATCCACTGGGACACTGAACGCTGCAGTGTGCAACATGAGCTGTAATAATAAATGAATAATGATAGTACAGGAGATGCAGTCAAATGTCACTTATATTTACTCTGGGTTAGTGATGCAAATGTCCTGCACTGGCGACTGGAGTGAGAGCAGCAGGTTTTGGCTGGCGTGCCAGAATGAAGGGCCTCACAACTGTGAGAATACAAATCAGCTGTTACATAAGACATGGGTGACCAGAACACTGGCTGCTCTGTGCTGCTATATGGGTATGTGAAACAAAACCCACACACACACACACACACACACACATATATATATCTATAGATATATACTTATATATATCTATAGATATAGATATATATATATATATACAGTTGGGTGGGACACACTTGCAGAGTCAGAGATGCATGTACACAAATATGCACGCATGCCTGTACACGTATATGTCTAAATTGAACACATACAAACCCCCGTGGGCTCACTCTCTTTGCCTCTCTTCACTCCACCAGTTTGTCAGGCTGGATGTTGATCTCTCAAAACTTTGACCAAGAAGACATCTTGACAAATTCTGGTAAGATTGCCAATTATTTCAGTGTGGATGGCTGTTTAATCCAAAAGGATGATTGCTACAGATTTTGTCAAACCTTTTAACCTTTCATCTAGTGCCATAGTCAGCTCATAAATCCCAGCTTGAGCAGTAATGACCAGATTTTCATGAAACTGTGAATATACTTGATGTCAGGAGGATCAGGCTAAGTATTTGTTTAGTGCCACCATCAGGCTAAAACGGATTAAATCGAATGTAAGATGTTCCCTTCTCTAGTTCCACCCATCAGTCCGATATCTCAAGACACAGCACATCTCATTATCTAAGAGGCTGACTAAAGATTTATGAAGCACTTTCATGCTCCCAGAGGAATGAAACCTTTTACTTTTAATGAGGCCATGCCCAGTACTCTAGCACCACACTCAGGCCTCAGAACAAACATTACACTTTCAGCCAAGGACTGAAAAACCATCAGTTTATTCTTAAGAATAGTAGCAGTAGTAGTGGTAGAGGGTAAAAAGTAGTCTGACAATTTAATCTTAACTCAAAGTCCACTTAATAGCTTTTTTCTCCAGAGTTTTCAACTGCATTTTACATCCTGTTAAAATTATTTTGTAGTCTAAAATAGCCAAGATGTTGTGTCAGTAGTGTTAAGTGTAACAACTGCCTTTCTACAATAGGCTATAGCTGCAAATAGGGTTAAACACCAGACATATAAAACTGCATCTGAGTTCACTACCTCAACACCTACGAACTTAAATTTTGTAACTGTTCTTTTTCCTGTCATGAATATCATTATTTTCTCCTGAAGGCAGAGAGAAAACAGAATAACATACAGTAGGCTATATGAATGACAACAAACTGATGATCTGACTTGGGAAGTTTGGGTGGGACGTCATTTTATCATGGTTTAATTAAATTTTGTTCTCCATACTTTCTGAATGCTTAAGGCCTTAACTCCTTCCAACAGCAGTCTTATCACTTCTTTCTCTCAAATTCAAATACAGAGGGTCTTTATAGAACACCATCTCCCCTCTAATTATTCAAAAATTACATAAATCTATATCCAGGAAGTTTTCTAAGAATCATTAGTTGCATTTTTATATCTAGTAAATTATTACTGAAAAACTAAGTGAATTACCAGAAATGATGCATGGTCTAACTGATTTTTATTTATTTACTTATTTAGTCTCGTGCATGGCGATTGCATCAGCACCAAAAGCAACACTACCACGTTGGAAGCATGGTGAGTTCTGTTGCTGCCTTCAAGTCCTGTTGGGAAATCTTACAACTAATACTCCTCATTGGTTATGTAGGCTGCATAATGAAAAATAGATATAAAACTAACAAGACTGAAAAAAATATAATGGGACACAGTGGTAGAAAAGTCAAGATTAATGATACTTAAGTGTAAAGGTTATATTCCATGTCTAAAGTAGCCTCTCTTTTTTTGTTGTTATTTTGGATTGGATTGATATTTTTATTCACATTTCTGTTAGTTCCTCTGTAGCTGTGAAAATTCCCTCTCAATGTGAAGGAAATAAAAACAGAAAACAATGTGGTCAGTATTCAGGATTTTATTGGCTTTGCTTTAAAGACATCAAAACATGTAACAACAACTAAACAGGGATCTCAAGCTTCTCCTCTTTCTCCTGCTCAAAGTAACTGAATTGATTCCAAAATGAAAATAAGAGTCCCTGCGGGAAACATTTGATGCTATAGCTACATTTGAGGAATACTTAAATAATCTAACATTAGGGTTAGGGGTGAAAATAAAATAAAAAATCTGTGTGTCAAACATTTAATTCAGTGACTTCCAAACTTTTTGGCCTGTGATCTCCACTTGTGACTTGTAGATCACACATCCTGCCTTAAAAAGAAAAACCTGCCTCGTGTTTCTTTTGTCATAAATTCCGTCTAGACTTCTTCTCGACTCTTATTTTGGAAGAAGCTCATAAACGCATCATTAGAAGACGCCTGCGCTTCAGCCAATCGGGGCATTCTGGTTGTGACGCAAAGGAGGGGGTGTGGTGTCATTTAGGGTGGGGGGTGAAAACCTAACACAGCTCCCTACATCAGGAAACCCGGCATTACTCTCAAGCGATTTTCTACAGCATTTGAACACGGAACAACCTGCTGAGGCCATCTGAGTCACGTTTCATCATGCTCTCCATGTCCGAGTGTGTGTCTGAGTGAGTTAAAAATATTTACTTTACTATTTTAATTAAGGCTAAATTGCAGAAACCATGTGTTTAATCCTGTTAGATAAAATAATACATTTGCTGTGATGTAGCTACATCCAGCACCGGTATTCCGTCGGGATATAGCTGCATTCATCACCGGTTTTCCATCGCTGAGTTAACAGGGGATGTTACATGAAACTGCCCGTAATGTAGCTACATTATAAACTAGATCCCCAGAGAAACAGTCACACTCGGAGCAGATAATTAAACTGATAATTAAAAACGGTCCCGAGAAGCGCGCGCGGGCACTTAGTTAGGATGGCACGCCCCCTCCGGATGCTGCTTGGTCATCTCTATAAACTTTTCCACGAAGAGGAGGGAAACGTGCTCGTCTGATACCTGTTCATGACGCCATACAGCGCGGAACAGCTCCGGTTTTCTCAAGAACTGGGACGGTGTTTCTGTCCCAGTTCTTGAGATAAGGTAAGCTCCATGCGGGTTCCGCCGTGACGTCATCTCTACAAACCCATCACTGCAAGCTTAAGAAGGCGATGTGTTCTACGTGACTGTATTTATGAGTCAGCGGGCTTCCGTCCTGCTGCTGCTGCCGTGAGTTGTGTTTGGCCACATGTGCTAATAAGTGAGGTGTCACAGCTGGCAGACCCCGCGGTGTGACATCTACATCTTCACGTCCATGTGCGGGGTTAGTGACAGAGCGCACGTAGCACTTTTAAAATGAAATAAGAAGGAGAAGCTTGCTCACTTGATATTATTCAACCTTTAAATAAAAAGAAGACATTATCATAAAAGAAAAGGCAAAAATGAAACCACCAAACTGTGATGTGACAGCCAATAAGTAACTCAAATGTGGTCATACTGATTTTGTATTTGTCTTTATAAGGACCAGGATCAGTGAAAACCAGTTTTAGACCTGATCATAAAGGCAGCCCAGTACTTTAGATCGATAGAGATATTTTATTATTATTTTATAGCTCATTAGTAATAATAATAACAATAATAGTTAATAATAAGTAATAAACAACGATAGTTAAATTAATCCATTTCATGAGCCACTTCATTTGGCTGAGGTGTTATATTATATAGGCTTACAGCAGTAAGGGTTGTGTTTATCAGGTAGAACTAAACCAATACTAGCCTATTAGAAGGTTGCACCTAATGGTCATTTTTATTTTCAATTATTCGGACAATTATTATTATTCTTCATTATTCAATTCATCATTTGGTGTATAAAATGTCAGTAAATAATGAAAAGTACTCTTTCTTAAAGTCCAGAGTAGCGTGTTTACATGTATTGTTTTGTCTGACTAATTGTCCATATATATTCAGGTTACCATCCCATAAGACAAAGGAAAGCAGCAACTCCTTATAAGTGAGATGTTTGATAGTTTTGATATCAATCAATGATCAAAACAGTTGCGCACATTAGTATTGCGTATGTGACTGATGATCAGTAACAAGAGATTACAGTACAGAAATGTCTGGTAATAGTCATTTAGAAACAATCTCTCCATATACATTCAGTCTACCAGAGAGCACTTAACATTTTTTTTTTTTACAGCTGGAAAATGATCTGCTCAGGATATCTTGGTCCCAATTCTTTTACAACAACATTTAAATGCTTTTTAGCATTTTTTTATATCATGTGTTCATGTAAAAAATGATTTCCTTTTTCTTTTTTTTTCTTATATTGTCATCATTCTTTTAAAAAAAATCCAGTCTCTTCTGTGAGGATGCAGTGTTGGTTTAGGGTTAACTGTTAGAATAGAAAACAAACTGGATTAAGAGCTCAAACCATACATCCCTTTGAAGGAGTGTTTATAGTTGTTTTAAAAAGGTGTGTGAAGTGACCAGATGCGCCAGAGAACATTTCATCTTTTGTTGCCAAAGTTGTGAAACTAATGAATGGGATTGACGCGTGATACTTAGATGTCCTCACAAGCACAGAAATGTAACTGTCTGTTTGTGTGTGTTTAAGAAATACTGTAAACTGCAATTACCATCAAGGTGTGTTAAGGTGTCACTCTCCATCCCATGACCGTGACGCATTGTTTTGCACATCCGAGCCAGTCAAACCTTTTACAGTACCACCACATGCACACAACAGGATATTTTGTGTGTGCACTTGTGTGTTTATGTATATATTGCTCAAAGCCCGGAAAGATATTCATTCGGGTTCAGTGACTGGGCAGGATGTTCCCGCCCCCCAGGATCCTTCTGGTTAATCAGATATTCCAGGTTATTTCCTGGTTATTGAATGTGGCATGACGGTAGATGCAGAGAGGTTAAATAAGGATATGTGTCATGCCATCTTAAAAAGAGCTTTATGTATCTTTTAAATTATTATGTCTTTATGAAAACTCGAAAATCATTGAGGGGGGGGTGAAGCCCTTGTTTACAGTGATGTCGAGCAGACAAAAATACCAGTTGAAAAAGAACATCAATTAAAATAGACATATAAATACAATTAATAAATAATATAATGACAACAATCAATTAAAAGTGTTTTGTAGTGAGTTCAAGGTGGATGATGCAAAACTTTAGCATTAACAAATGATGATAATAATTTAATTACTTACTATGAAGTAAAAAAAAAAAAGAAAAATGACACACTGACACCTGAAACACATCCCACGCGTCTGGGATGAACTGAAAACACGGTCTGCAAACCACATCGTGTGAATTTAGTTTTTATTGACACTAGAGTTAATGACTGATCTTTGCTTCTCTGACTCCCTCAGTGACAGCTATGAGGAGTGCCGGACCACAGCTGACTGGCTGCTCTCCAACACACAAGTGCGGCCGACTGTGGGAATCGTATGCGGCTCAGGTCTGGGCGGGTTGGCTGAGATGCTCAAGGACCCGCAGGTCTTCAAATACAGCGACATTCCCAACTTCCCCCGGAGCACAGGTATGCACAGCCTGCAGCTGTCTGGGAAAACACAGCTTTTAATCTCTGTGTGTTTTTGTGTGCACGTTTGTTAGTTGCACTGGGTGTCTAACCGGTCTGGTGTGTGTGTGTGTGTGTTGCAGTGCATGGTCATGCTGGCCAGCTGGTGTTTGGAACACTAAAAGGCAAGCCGTGTGTTTGCATGCAGGGCAGGTTCCACCTGTATGAGGGCTACCCCATCCAGAAGGTGAGTAGAGCTTACAACCTGCACCAGTCTGTAAAGTTGAAGCCTAGCGCAGACTACATTTCGCCATGATTTGCCCGTCTATCTGAGACAAAGACCCATGAGTCTGCACAGAATCTGGCCTGGCGCCTGTACTGCTAGACCTGTTGTCTGGTTGAATGAATATTTAAAGAGGAAAAGTTGAACTAAACAACCTGATGCATTCGTTAGACGAGCAGTTTGAGGACCAGCACGCAACGAGAGCAACGGTAAACCCATTTGGTGAATTCTTGCATGAGTTTGTCGAATATCACGATGGTTAGCTGCAGTCACACATCTCTCCAACTGGAATAATCTTGTAATCACTACACTCCAACTGAGGTTAGTGTGTAGTTTGTTGTGCAGCCTGATGACAAAAAATGTCTTTAAATCTGCATTAGCTTTAAATGATAATTTAAACAGTCAGTTCCATATAAACTACATAAATATCCCCCCTGATTTTAGTGGTATTAAGCTTCACCTCTTGGTTTTTGAGGTGTTGAGATATTCACCTCTCAGACTCAAACTCAAGGCCTCAACCCTAGGTCAATGGGGATGAATTATACGTTGCTCCTGCTGCTGAAAATATATATTTTTTTAAAATTACTTTTGAAAAACTCTGCAGTAGTTTGTCTTTCCTGAAACGTTATTGCACCGACGTCACAGTGAACCATTTTCAGCAGGACAACGTCTTTGGCTCAGAGTTGTTCCCATGAAAACTGCCAACAGATCTTTGTGGAGGAACTTGTTTCATATCTTTTCTGGAGAGACACTGAGCTGCTGTTCACCAGGCACAAACTTCAGATACAGAGTCTTCAGAACCTGGATAAATAAAACAAAAACTATCTAACTATCTAATTCAGCAGGTGTCTGAACACAGTCAGCAGAGTTGGAGATATCAGAGATTGCAGTGGCCTCAGTTCACCCCTTCACTTTTTGCACTTGTGTTGTAGATTTAACCGTAAATGGATAAAATTGTTATTTTTATTTAACTGTCAATCTATACATTAAGAAACAGCCACATTCCCTCCAAAAGCACTTCTTCAAAGGAACACACTTCACATTTTGCAAATTCTCCTCTCTCCATATGTAACCTCACACCTTACGTTACCTTGTGTTCTCCAGATCACGCTGCCCATGCGCATCTTCAAGCTGATGGGCGTGGAGACGATGATCCTGACCAACGCGGCTGGAGGTCTCAACCAGGACTACAAGGTGGGAGACGTCATGATCATCAAGGACCACATCAACATGCCGGGCTTCGCTGGAATCAACCCTCTGGCTGGACCCAACGATGACAGGTGGGTGGAGGAGAGGGAGGGAGGGGTAGATGCGTGGATGAATGTTTTTATGAGGGCAAATGTTACATTACATTAGTTTTGCTAAGGAGCTGCTTATAAAGTTGACAGGTTTAAATGCTAAAAAAAAAACAACAACCAGTGTTTCCTGTTATTTGCACAATTATGTTTGTGTCGCAGTGAAAAAGCTCAGCTGCAGTAAACACTCAAAACTCCTCATCTTTTTAAATGATTGATAGTTGGTCTCAAGATTTTAAAATTTATATTAAAAAATTGTCATAAGCTCAAAAGAGGCCAAGACATTTTTATTTGAATTCCCGCTTTGGAGATCCAATAAAAAGTTTTATTTTTCTAGCAACTTCAAGCAAACAGATTCTGCTCATTCACTGTGCGAATGACGCAGCTCGAAGTTTTCCCTCCCCCGCCATTTTCCATCTTGTAAAATATGTGCATTTTTGCAGGCTCCTACACAGAACTGCTACGCTTTGGCCCCGAAGCATCTGATGTCGTTGTCAACAAAAGTGCCTGTCATGCTCAAAGGCTGCAATTTAGAGGGATTACATAGCACTTCAAAACACTTTGACCCGACTCCCAGAAGTCAAGTCACTTTTATTCATATAGCCTTTTATCACAAATCAGACCTCAGGGGGCTTTAAATTTATAGTATGGACAAAAAGATGACGATTGCACAACAGTGTATTTTAACAGAATCATTGCAGGAAACAGATGAGTGACCTGCGCGCCTTGTTGGACCGAGTTGACATGACAAATCTCCACATGCACATTGCTCAGACGTACCCTGTCACATACTCTGCATCAAAAGACTTCCATTTAAGTGTTGTTAAACTTTGTCTATTACTTTAAAGTTACCCAAGTCGTCCGGTGACGTTTCATCTTGCGCAGGACTTCTGTGTAAATTCTTACCGCAAGTTGTGATGAGTCAACACCGCCCTCCTCCCCACAGGTTTGGCGTTCGCTTCCCCTGCATGTCCGACGCCTACAACCGCGAGCTGCGCCAGCTGGCACACGACGTGGCGGCGGAGCTGGGCTACGACTTCCTGAAAGAGGGAGTGTACAGCGTCGTCGGAGGGCCCTCATTTGAAACCATCGCTGAGTGTCGCATGCTGCATAGGCTAGGCGCCGACGCTGTTGGTGAGTTGTTACATCTCTCTGACACACACACAATCGTACTTTCATACGCAACACATTCACCAGACCCTTAATCTTTACCTCACCTCATCCGTAACAACAAGAACCCTTTGAGGAAGTGAGGACCGGACCTTATTTGTGCTCACTTCCCAAAAACATCCTCAATCACAAGGCGCATTCAGGTCATCAAGACGGAAATACAAGCACATGCACACACAGACGCACACGCACACAAATAAATCCTACTGATTAAAACATAGAGGAAAGACAGTTACAGGACAAGTCATTCAAAACCTCACTTAACCAATTTCAATCAAAATCTGTATATGGCAGCCCTACTGCTGAGGCCGGAAGCTTTCAGGAGAAATTCATTTAACCGGTCGCAACAAATAAATAATGAATAGGCGCATCACTGAATTCATAAATCATAAAAAATTTGCAGTATTTCATAAAATCAGTCGACCAATCCCATTTAATCTCACGTCTGCGTGAGTCTGACGTCATGTCAGTATGAAAAAGGAAAAAGTAACACTGGAATTTTAAAACATACAAATAACAGATTTCAAGAACTGAAACATGACAAAACACGACACTGACGTCTCACCTTCCCTACGTCTTCTCTGCAGGGATGAGCACCGCCCACGAGGTGATCGTTGCCCGCCACGCCGGCATGCGTTGCTTCGCCCTCTCACTGATCAGTAACCGGGCGGTGATGGACTACGACAGCCAGGAGAAGGCCAACCACGAAGAGGTCCTGGAGACGGGCAGGGTGAGGTCCCAGCAGCTGGAGAAGCTGGTGTCCATCATGGTGGCTCGGCTGGAGCAAAACAACAACGACGACAACGCCTTCTGAACGCCGACAGAACCTGACGCCCGGTCCTGAGTCCGCTGTCCTGCTTTATCTCGGGTTTAGTACTTGATAAAGTAGTTTCTTCGCAAAGCCTCATTTCTGAAATGTTTCCACTGACCGTTACTTCACGTCTTAAGGTCTTGGAAACAGGTAAAATTTTATACATTCCTCTATCAGTAGCTCTCTGACAAATTCCCCGTTCTGTATTCAGACAACTGTAGTGTTTCAGTGAAACAGCATCATATTGTAAATTCTAACTTAATAACTTTTAACTTAATATAAAATATTTATTGTTTCAGTTCTTTTACATTCCCTGATATCAATAAACAACCCATACAAATACAGTGATATTCACATTTCTAATGTAGAAGACCAACTCATCAAACATATCCACGGCAGAAATAATAATTTCATATAGTGTAAAAAAAAAAAAAAAAAAAAAAAAAAGGTGTCAATTTTATAGAATATTTAAATGTATTTAAGTGGTGTTTTTATTTGCTCTGATGATGTATGTGTGTGACAGAGAGAGTGGAAGAAAGGGATGGTGTCCCGCATGGGACAGTTACCAAAGTGTGTAGATTCAAGTCTCTTTCCGTGTCTTAACACTGTGTTAACTAACAGACTGGGTTTTCGACTGTCTGTGTTTTACTTTACCCAAGACTGTACAAACTCTGGATCTGCTTTTACAATAAAAAAAAAAAAGACTCAACACAAAGACAATGCTGCATTTGAAAAGGACAGGTCTGATCTTTGTGTGTTCGTCTGCTGTTTCTTTGTTGGTGGGACGTAACGGACCTTTCTCCTGCAGAGGGCCGTCAGTCACGGTCTTAAAAGGGAAACACCACCTCAAATCATCTTATATATTGTGTCATCTGTTTGTTGGGCAACATGTACCATCAAAACAAGGAGATTACGTAATTACCCAATCCTTTGAGGCCTTGTCATATTGAGGTGTGTCAATTTCATTTGATACTGTGCTTATATGCTGCATATTCTTAAATATATTTGTTAATTAAATTACCCCAAACTATCAGCCACACTGCAAGTCTGCAGCCGTTTTATGAAGAGCAATTTGAGAGCATTGATTATATGCAGATTGCAAACGGTTGCATCATCACATGTAACAAATGAGGGTCACTTGCTCAATGAAATGTGTTAAAATGAACGGGAGAGGAAATGATGTTGCATGTGTAATCCCTGTGGCAGCAGAGAGATGCAGCAGAGGAGCTGGTTGGTTTCTGAGGCTCAAAGAAATATAAGAAAAAGTGGCATGAATGTAAACTGCTAAAGGCTGGTAAAAGGCAGAGGTGAGGCAGAATACACAGCTCGATTACTTGAGTCACAGTATAGATACTCCTATAAAAGTCAAAGTTGTTCAGTCAGATTTACTGGACTACTTTAAGTACTGGAGTACCATTGTTGTATTGGTCCACATTTACAGAACCTACTGAAGCGCTGACTGACAGTAGAACCTGTGGAAGAAAAAGACTAGGATATGAAGACAGAAGTCATTTCACCAACCACAGCATAGAAACCAACTACAACAAGCTATCTGTTTTCAAATGGAATTAAAGACATGTTACATATTGCAACATGCTTTCTCAATTTGGACGACAAATTGGCATTGTATTGTCTATTGTATATTGTATCTATTTCTTTTCTTTTCTTATTTAAAAAGGTTAATGTAGCCTACATGTAAAAACAAAAAAATGTAGCGCTGTCGCAGTAGGCTTGCCTTTAATTGGACGTAAGGGATCTAGAAAAGGGGGCCATGGAAAACAGTGCCAGGCCAATGGTACAGTAGACATGGGTGTCCACATACTTTTAGCAATATAGCGTACACTGTATTAATCAAGCATCATCTTTAATATTTAGCAATTAATCGACAGGGAAAGAAAAAAATATGCAAAAAAAAAAAAAAAACAGCAACAAAATTGGCCAGGAATGTAAATTATATGACTAACATCTGTCTCCTAACAGTGTCTGGCTAATAAAGCACAACCTGCACATTAAATGCAAGCTTCCCAGCGGAGGAATGCAAAACATAAATCATGGTGGTGCATGCTGCTGTTCCCCTGGGAAAGAGGTGATGGTCGACATGTTTACAGTCAGTTTGTCCTTCACCGTATCAGCAGCTTTCCTTTTTATTTACTAACCACTTTCTCTCACTCCCTCCAGTCTACACTCTCACTGTTCCCACTTCCTTACCCTAAATATATCCACTGCCACTTGTCCCCTTCCTCCTCCTCCTCCTCTTCCTCCTCCAAAAAGAAAAAAAGAAAAAAAAAAAACCCATTTTCCATGACGCTCAGGCCCCCACTGTTTATGGCCATACAAGGTTGTGAGAATTTAAGGAGCTGTCTGTTTGACTGCAGTAAATGAGCAGGTCCAGGTGTCTGGACAAAATGTACTCATTCACTGTAAAGTGGAGGCAGGGAAGCCAAATGAGCCAGAGGCTGCACACCCTGTTAGGATGCCTTGACCTGGTGCTGATGGGTTCCTGCTCTGGTACTGCAGGTTACATTTATGGCTGCAAACACACACAGGTTTTTAAACTTGTAAATGTAATTAGGGTAATTAGTTTGCTTCACTATGCAAATGATGTTTAACATGAGGTGGGTGTAGTGTACATATTAACAGTTGCTTGTTTAAGCCGTTTCATTCCTGCATAATAAAGCCAAAGGCACTGATCTGTTTGTCTGTTTCCCACCTTGCATCTGCTTATTTTTTCTGTGCATAGTGAAAGTCGATTTAAAGATGTGGTGGAGCTTTCTTTAAATGTTCCATTTCTTTTTTTGTTTTCTGGAAAATAAAATGTTTCTATAGAGAGTTTTTATTGGCCTTTTTAATATAATTGCATCTGATTTTGTGTTGCCATTTTCTTTTTTTAAATTTCAGCTGATTAAAATCATGGAATAAAAGTGAAGACAAAGCTGATTTCATACTGTGAAATAAGTCAGTGATTCTATGTTAATATTACATCTGTGTCACTCACTTCTCTCTCAATAATCCTTTATGGGCAAAAAAAACTAAACATAAGTGGACACCCCTTCCTCTACCACCTTTAAATAACTGCGTGTGTGTTTGCAGTGAAGCTCTACAAATCATAAAGTAAGAGTGCATTTGGTAAATATGACGGCTGCTCTTCCAGTCAGGCTGGAAAGACAACGTCTATGAAAAAAGAAGCGTCTCTGGCACTCACCACTACTGTAGGACACACTGTTCCAGAGCAGTGTTTACACTGTACTTCACTACTTTACACAGAAGTCTCAACACCAAACTAAACCCAAGCTGACCTTATATTAATAAACCCACAGGCACAATGGAAAATATAGTAAAAAATGCCAACCTGAACACATAAAAGGCCAGAGAGACCAACAACACTGTCCTATCAGAAACGTACAGAGAGTGTGCGTGTCCACATGAACCAAACCCAGCGGACAAAGGTGACAGCTCCGCGGTGTGCAGAAACAGGAAGAGAGCGATCCATCATCCGAATGTTTCTACAGCCTCCGTGCGACAGTTTAACAGGGTTTCTGTAGCGAAGCGAGGAGGAAACAGCAACCGAAAAAGGAAACAAAGCCATCACATACTGAGGAGAAGGCAGCTGTTAGAATCGTGCAATGAGACAATAAGGTGAAAACGCACGAGTCAAGTTGTGCACCTGTTTGGCAGGTGGTTACTTTTTTTTTTGTTGTTGCAGAAAATAGGAAGTTTAGAGTGTGAAGCTCCTGTTCCTCTCCAGCAGCAGAGTAGGGTCACAGTTCCCTCTCTGCTCTGTCATGATTTAAAGGAGCAGTTGCACTACACTGCCCTCTGGTGCCATTTCATCTACCACAGTGACAAACCTGCAGTTTGAGTAGTGGTGAAATAAATAGTTGACGAACTGATGGAGTCAACTGATGGTAAATTAATCAGTTATCAAGCAAAAGTGCCAACAATTCACTGGATTCAGCTTCTTCAAAGTGAGAATTTTACTTTTCCTGTTTCATTTCATTGTAAATTGTTTTGGATTTATTTATTTTATTATTATTTTTTCATTTTATAAAATAAGGAGTACCAAATGTGCACACTTTAATCAAACAAATGAGAACGATGATGAACCCAGAAATGAAATTGACTCCTGTTTGTTTGTAGGCAACTACTTTGAGGAACAGAAAAATCTTAGTTATTGACAAGTACGACTGAAGTGTGATGTCCAAAACTAGAAACACTTGTGACAGTGACACATCCTCTAACGTGCAATTTCACAGTCAAAAAAAAAAAAAAAAATCCAGCTGTTGATTTTAACGATGCTTTAATATGAATCAGAACAAAGAGCGACTGATTTTGCGGGTGAACTTTCATGGAAAATTAAACTTGAAAACAATATTCAGGCAGGTTTTTTTTTTGTTTGTTTGTTTTTTTCATCAGTGTTGACATCAAAACATGAACCTGAGAGCTGCTTCAACGCCACTGAACGGAAAAAACCCACACGTGACTGTGAAGGGGAAACTTAATGGGAATAATGAGCATCTTGTGCTTCTACAGTTTCAGTACTGAGATGAAATAAGGCTCGTTTCTACAGGAGACGCTAAAACAAACTGTGTCTATGAGTGAAAAACAGCATGTATACAACTGTAAGAGGATATCTGCAGGAAATTTTTTTTTTTTTTTAATGGCTCTACATTTTAGACCTTGTTTTTTTTTTGGATATCTAGCTTTGGAAGTTAAAAATACGGACGTGTGTGAACTCTGTTTGAGGGCGCGATTCAATTTCACATGTTCATAATTATAAAAGTATTTTTAAAAAAAAAAGAAGCGAACGTCTTTAAATCCATCCAGATGGATTTTGCATAGTAAAATATGCATTCATGTAGAAAGTCTGTGAGCAAGTCCACAAGGTTACAAATCCCAACCCAAAGAGCTGCTGTTCATTGGTTTTTTTGATTTTGTTTTAAGGGTCATGTGTGTCCTTTCACCTGAGCCTCACACACACACACACACACACACACACCTGCACCTCAGCTGTATGTGTGAATAATCCTGTGCCGTTTCAGATGGTGCATCAGGATGAAGGTTTTCCCGCACTGCGAGCAGCTGTAGGGCCGCTCCCCGCTGTGAGTGCGCTGGTGGACCCTCAGGCTGCTCTGCTGCGTGAACCTCTTCCCGCACTGCCCGCAACCGTACGGCTTCTCGCCCGTGTGCGTCCGGTGGTGTATGCTGAGGTGGGACGAACACTGGAAGCTCTTCCCGCACACCGTGCACCAGAACGCTCGCTTTCTCTTGTGGCTCTGCTGGTGCAGCTTGAACTGGTGCAGGCGGCCGAACGCTTTTCCGCACTGCGAGCAGACGTAGCCTCGCGCCGCGCCAGAAAAAGGTCTGTGGGGGGCGTGAGTGTGGTAGCTGCTCGGTGTGAAAGTGTTGTGCGAGTGAGTTACGACCGCTCTGTCTCCTGCCGCGGCCTCCCTCTCGGGGTGTTCGTCTGGCTGCCTGTGTTGTCCAAAATGAGACGCGTTCCTCTGCGAGTACATTTGTTCCTTCTGCCTGTCCTGCTGTGAGAGAGCACCCTGAGGTCTGCTCTGAAAATTGGACGACTGAGGAACATCCTTCTGATACTCACTGTTGTAGATCCCATTACACGGCCTCTGAGAGGACGGCTGCTGGACACTAGTCGACTTGCTCGTGTTAGAAACCACGTGCGTATCCGAATGGTCCGGGAATGTGTTGGAGTACTCCTCTACCACGCTAGAAAAGTCGGGAAACCCGGCGTCAATGTCGTTACCTTCAATTATGGATGACCAGAGTTGATTCTCTCTTTCATCCATGGAAAAGTCAGCAGCAAGCTGAGTCTGCTTCCCCGCGCTGTGCTGGCATCCGTCCTGACCGAGTCCTGATCGGTCCTCCTCCTTCTCCGTCTTGACAGTGAAATGAAGGCCGCTGATGTCTCCTGTGTGTTGACCAGAGTTATACAAGTCACCAAAGTCCGATGTCTTCAGCCTGGCGACATCTGAATGGTTTAACTGATGGTCCTCCTCAAGCTGCTGGCTTTCTGGAGCATTACCTGGATTGGGGTACTGTACAGCAGGACCTACAGGTAACAACAGGTCCATTCAGAAGGGGCTCATGTACTGTCGTTAATTTCAACCAAAAAGTGACAACTTTTTAAAAAATTTAATTCTTGCCCCAAAGCCCCAAATATTTTTTAACTCACCAATCGGTCCAGTAGCATCACTGATCCACAGTGGTTCATCTGGACTCTCTTCTTTTATTGTGAAGGAAACTGTGGCATCTTCAATCTCTGGAAACTAGATCGACAGAGGATGGATTAAACTTCAAATCTGAAATATTATATTTGATATTTGATTTGATTTGGCCACGTGGAGGCAACACAGGCTGTAAACACAACCTCGACATGAGGTTGCCTTTTACACGCCGAGCAGGCATGAAGAAAATCAGCCTTTGTAGTGATGATTCTGTCCACCAGATGAATCTAAGTCCAATATTCATGCTACTGTTAGCTCTGCTTTGCTCTACACAATGCCTGAGGGAAATATATGGCTCTTTAGCTGCTTAATGCTCCACTATGTTCCCCAGCTAGTCAATAGCATTGTCTGCTGTTTGGCTGGGGAAGCAGTATGTAGTTGGTTTTTAGGCCTTTTTTTTTAAGGAAAAAAGCTGCTGCTGCTGCTGCTGCTGCTGCAAATGACGACACTGATGAGACTGAACCAAAACAGTGAAGTTCCAGCAATAAAACTAAAACAATGAACGGAAAGACACTAAAAAAGCCCCATAGAGCTGAAAGGAACTGCAGAGTGGGGTGAAAATTCTCTGTGGATTAGAAACTACAAGTGACACCATTAGTTCTTCCACCCAGAGTTGATGGAGAGTAGCTTTAATTCATTATAATCATGTTCCAGACCAGCAGCATCACTAGATGGGCAAAATCAGACGGCTATTCTGGAGTATAGAGTATCATGAGCTGCGATAATTGAGATCTTCAACCTAGATTTTGACAGAAGGTATCGAGGTTGGGTAATAAAGCAAGACCCAAGGAAAAAAAGAGAGGTTATCCATGTACTCAAATTTGCAACACCTGGTCTTCAACAAGTACATTTCTGGGAAATTCAAAAAGTTGCATCAGGAGATTTTTGTGGCGCTCGCAAATCTCAGTATGAACAACCTCTCCTTCTCTTCTTCAGCGCTGTTTTTGTCCTGTGCCTGCAGCCAGCTGGGGTTGGATGTGGCTCTTCTCCACCTTATTTTCGTAGAATGAAGCAGGGCCCACCTTATTAAGTCAGCTGATATTGTGTGCATAATCCGTAGTCGCACGTAATCACATAATCCCAAACAGTTATAAAACACCACAAAGCAATTGCCCCACTGAACCTGGGGCTCTTGGGGACCCCTGGGGTCCGGGGCCCTGGGACAGTTGTCTGCCTGTCCCTGTTAATAATCCAGCCTTGATTCAGTTTAATCTGCACTGAGAAATATTACTGACATAAATCAAAGTTTTGGAGTTATTAAAACGACACAGACCTTTATATCTCCAGTGGGATGAGGACAATTACTCCCCACATCAGTTCCTCGGTCCATGTAGTTTTCTGGGTGAAGACAATGAAAACAATACATTGGAAAGAGGCAGAGCAAAGTGAAAATTAGTATTATTTTCAAGGAGGAAATGCAGACCATTTTAATAACAATATACATTCATTTATGTAAAGATTTAAAGCATTTCTACAGCGCTCCTGCTTTATAAGATAACTGGACGTTTTGTTTTTTGATACTTCTACGTTCATATGTATATTACATTCATTTAGTCGTTAATTATGAACACTAATGAGGCAGCTGAACATCTTACCAAACCCGCTCTGCAGCTGCGCATTTTTGTTCTCCATCATTAACAATTTCCTTTTCAGCATCTCAATCTCGCTTTGCTTTCGGGATATTTCAAGATGCAAAAACGCACATTTGTCATCGACTAGTTTGGATATCTCTGCCACTGCTGCCTTCACCAGGACCTCCATTATTGAGGATAACTGCGTTTGGAAGGGAATACACGTCGCCATGTTCATTTATATAAAGTAATGTGAGAGAAAAATATATAATAAAGTGGTCCTTCCGCGCAGTGATTTTTTATTTTAATTGCGAAAACAACCGACGCACTAGAAAACATTACATCCCTGTGTGTCTCTAGCTAAGGCTAACTGGAAGCTTTCTTCCGTATGGCGGAGTGATCTACCGTAAATACGGGAGTAGAAACGCAGTGAAATTACAACCAACAAGGAACAGAGGAGTCTGAAGTGAGGGCTGTTATAAGTAAAACTAAACTGACTTACCTTTACTTTATGTCAGACAACTGTACGACCTTAAAAAAAGTGATGAAAGTGCTCGATACTATGTGTAAAATAAGCTGACCTCTGTCTGGCAGGCTAAAAGCTAAAAACATTTAAAAAAAAAAAAAAAAAAAAAGATGTGACAATCAGTTGAAAACTCAGTTGCAAGTAGTTCAATATGTTCTTTAAATTTCTTTTATCATTATTGGTTCTCAAATTTCACTACTGATAGCTGTTTCAGTCAGTCCTGAGAAATCAGCCTAATGTAACCAGTACAAAATAGTCTACATTCACCTATACAAGATTTGAGCTGAAACAATTACTCAATTAATCGATTAGTTTATCGACAGAAAAGCAATCATCAAATTTTTTGATAATTGATTAATCATTTCAGTAATTTTTGGAGCAAAAATTGTGAGGAAATTACACATATTTGCAGATTTCAGCCTCAAATGAGAATATTTGTTGCTTTGTCATAACATCACTGTTAACTGAATATTTGGACATTTTGGTCAAACAACACAAAACATCTGGAGACATCACTTTAAAGGATCACTGTGTAGGATTAAGGGAGATATGTTGGCAGCAATGGAATATAATATTCATAATTATGTTTTCATTAGTCTATAGAAGAGAAACAAAACAAGAATCATGTTTTGGTTAGCTTAGAATGACCTCTTCATATCTACATAGGGAGCGGGTCCTCTATTACACCACCATGTTTCTACAGTAGCTCAGAATGGACAAACCAAACATTGGGTCTAGAGAGGAATTTTCACATTTTTACGTTACCTGAAGGCCACCGTAGTTTCTCCTAAACACTTGGAAAAGAGATGGTGAGAGGAAGAGTATTCATTTGGTTGCAATCTACAACCTCACTGCTAAATGCCACTAAATCCTACACACTGGTGCTTTAAGATCAGCACAACTTTTTGAACTTTTCTTTATATTTTATAGACTAAATCATCTAAAAAATAAGTGGTAGATTAATCAATAATGAAACTAATCAACAGTTAAGACTGATCATAATTGTCAGCTACAAACTAACCACTTAGCATTTTAGTGGTTTAAACCCGTCATTTCCTTGAAGGACCTTCAATTTAGCTCAAATTCCAAGGGGTCTTTATACCTTTTCCATGAATGTGGAAACCCTGGAAGAAAAGAAGGCAATGTGAGAGAGGTTTAAAAAAAAAAAAAAAAAAATGGGGAAAGAGGAAGAGGTAGTGCAGGAAATATTTAACATTCAACAATCATTTATTTACACTGATCACTTTTTAAAAAAAATAAGCAGTGCCAGACGCCACAATTCTATTAACTTAGTTTTGAATTTATTTGAAAATGCAAAAAGCTAAACAAAGAGAGTCATTTTTTTCATTATATTCATCTTTTCAAACAAAATGTATCATCCTGTATAATGTGATAAAGAAAATACTGTTAAGGTCATGTGACACCCATGAATCATGCTACAATTGGGTGTTTCCTTGACAATTACTGATCACTTATCTCTAATCAGTGACTTAAAACAAACTGAAAACACTATAAATAAAGGAAATATAAAAAAAAAAAAAAAAAAAAAAAAAAAAAAACAAACAAAGGAATTTAACTCTGTGGCAATAACACAGCAGGGGCAGGGTTAAGGATTTTATTCCCATGTGAAAAATGTAGGCACTCATCACACTGTGCTATAAAGGGTTTTGTGTCACCCTGTCAGCCCCGGACAGGTGCTCTTAGGGCTTAGCTCGAGTGTTAGTTTTGTCAAACTATTTCAATGACCCCTTCACGTTCAACCACCTGCTATGAACCATTAAAAACTGCACTGTTTATCCAGGAGCCTTCTCGATTTACACAACCAGATAAACAGATTTTCGTATTACAGTTTTCCCACACTTGACACCATCTACTTTGTTTCATCTGACAGTTAGTGTCATTAACTAATGGCATAATGTACAAAAATATATCCCACAAAATAAATATCAGTCAAAAGTAACAACAACATAACCAAAGAGAAGTTTCAAATTTCTTGACTTCTCAAAATTCTTCATAACTATGTATATCACTGAGGTATTTCACGTTTCTTTAGTTATGCATAATGCACAGGTTTGCTGCATATGATTTAGGATTAACTTGTAGTCCTTTGCCTTTCTCCAAAGAAAAACATTAACATGTTGCCATTTTTGGATCATGGGGGGTCTGCTATATTTGAAATCTTGGCCTGACCCAAAAATCACAGCATTAGCTTGAAATTTGCCTTTTTGAAAGACCAAACCAACAGAACATTGTGCTAATATTATCAAGACACATTTACATGCAGCTTTGAAGGCAATGGTAATTTGAGGTATACAGAACATTGAACAGGCTTGGTTCGGTTTGATTCAAAATGAGGATGCTTCTGTCAGTCTGTTTCGTTATCTACGAATATTTTTAACACAGGCTTTGACAACAAAGTTTAACTCGCTGCACTGCCCTCAATAGGAGAACTAGGCATTATCAAATATTTTAAGACACAGTACACTGATCTGAATCCACATAAAAGGTGTAGGGTATTACAATGAAATCAGCAACAAGTTGAGCTTCATCAAAATTGTTCTGTGACTTAAGAGTGGCAAAATAGTAAAAAAAATAAAATAAAATAAATAAGATTAAGAAGAAATCTCTGCTAAATCTCCAGTTAATAATGCTAGATCCATGAGCATACTGTAATTTGTATTTATTTCACCAAATCCCACTGAATATTGTTTTGCCACCACGGATTGTGTGATTTCTTTTTCATCAGATCTTACCTCACACCAAGAAAAAAAGAAAGGAAAATCATTTTATTGAGCTGTGTTAATGACTAATTATTTATATATATATATATATATATATATATATATATAAAAATAAAAATTATAAAATAATAACTGAACATAAACTCAGTTACAGCTCAAAATTCTCTCTCATTATTTGCAATATAAAGAAAATATATATATTAAAAAAAAAAGAATAGTGTTTCAAATTTCAGTAAAGTAACACACAACAATGTGTTTCTGTATGAGGATGACGGCTGATTATTGTTAAATAGTTCAACTATGTGAACAGTATTCCATAATAAAATACTGTACTTTTAACTTTAAAGTGTCTTGGACTGGAGTTTGAGAAACTGAAGAAAGTTTACACATTCTTAAACTTGTGTTATGAACACGGCAAGAATGCAACAACAACAAAAAAAAAATCTATATTTCAGTTACATTTGTTAAAATACAGACAAGTCTCATTAAAATTAATCCAGTAAAGTGAAAGTAGTGACCGGCTGGAGCAACAGTTCTTGGCTGTAGACCAGAAAATGGGACGGCTACAAATGACCCTTCAAACTACCCTGGACTTCATTTGGTTTCTCCTTATAATAATTAACTTAAATTAAGTGTCAACCAAGTGCCTCTCGAGAAGCTCAGTGTCAGCAAACACAAAGTAAGTTTATGCCAACAATTCTCAAAAAAAAAAGGTCATGCTTCTGAAATGTACTTGAAATGTGACAGAAGCTAAACAAACATTTATCTTCACTTATCAGAACTGCAAATAGAAATGAACGATTTCTGCTCTTCAACTTTCACCTTTGGAAGTTTTGTGACATGTCGAGGATTTATCTATTCGTCCAATGATTTGTCGACCGTGAGAAAATGAACTAGTGCACTTTTGTTTACGACTGAACGGGATGAAGCCTGGTGGAGAACCGTGTACTTTTCCTCCTTGTGTACGTTAGAAATTATTTTATTCCACATGGACTTTAAGGTGCAACTTCAGGATGCTCATCTGATCAAAAACCTTACCACATATCTCACAGCTGAAGGACGGCTCGGTAATACTCTTACACTGGTGCCGCTCGAATAAAGTGAAATTACCGAAGCTTTGCCCACAACTCGAGCATATGAAGCAATTTTGTCGGGTTCTGTCGCAGTTGTCCTCACGGTTGCTCGAGGAGGTCATGTTGAATTCAAACGCAGTTCCCTCGTGAGTCGGGTCACTCACTGCGCTGTAATCGTTCACAGTCACCTCGTGTATAATATGTTGGTCTCGTAGCTCAGATGTGAGAGTCATATCAGAGCTTCTTGATTGTATTCCCATCACTGAAAACTGATCACTGTGCATCATCTCTTCCTTCTCTTTATCCTCTAGAAAAGGCAGATCCTTGACTGGAGATGTGTATCCCTGCTGCTGATTGGCCGTTCCAGCTGCAGGACTGAGGTGATACTTGACATCATGTAAAAGTACGCAGACAGTTTGCTCCGTGGGGTCACTACTCTTTTCTATCCCTGATGTCCACAGCTGACTTTGGTCTGGTGCTCCGGTGCCGCTGTCGGGCCCTGCCTGACTTAGAGTGTGAAAATCCTCTCCATTTGGCTCCACCTTCACCATTACTGTTTGCTCACCCGCCGCCTCGCTGCCCGGCAACTGCTCCTCAAAAGCTGCTGGTCCGGTCCTGGGCTCTGCCAGGTTCTCCAGCGGTGGATTATCTGGCATCGTGATCATCAGGCGATGTGCCTCCAGCACATCTGTGCTCTCCCCTGTTCAGAAAAAAAAGGCAGGCAGAACTTAAATCCAGGTGGGCGAAACCCAGCGTTAACATGACACCTTTTCTTGTGCTTTTATATACAGCAGTAGCGCTCTATGTGCAAGAAAGGGTTAAACATGCATATTATACGATTACTAATTGGCTTAATTATACTTTCTCTTAAAGAGCTCTATTTCAAGCTGCACTGAGCAAAAATATAAACACAACACTTTTGTTTTTGCTCCCATTTTTCATGAGTTGAAATTAAAGACTTTATCTGACCACAAAAGGCCTCTCTCTTTCTCTCAAATCTTCTTCACAAATGTGTTTAAATCCGTGTTGGTGAGAATTTCTCCTCTGCCGAGATAACCTGTCCTCCTCACAGGTGTCACATATCAAGGCGCTGATTACACAGCATGATTACTGCACAGGTGCAGGTGTGCCGTGGGCTGGTCACAATAAAAAAAAAGTGTAGTTTTATTTTGAAAAAAGACATTTCTTAGCTTCTGAACTGTGTGACTTGGGCTACAGATGTGCATTTTTTCTTTGGTGGGTGAGGGAGGGGGAGGTCGAGGTGGAGGGGGGGGGGGTGCCGTGGATCAGAAAAAAGAGTCAGTATCGGGTGTGACCACCATTTGCCTCGTGCAGGGCAACACATACTTGTACAGAGTGGATTAGGTTGTTGATTGTGGTCCGTTGAATTCCAATGGCTGTGCACGTTTGCTGGATATTGGCAGGAAGTGGAACATGCTGTAGTTACACGCTGATCCGGAGCATCCCAAACATGCTCACTGGGTGACATCATGTCTGGTGACTACACAAGGCCACGCAAGGACTGGGATGTTTGAAGCTTCCAGGAATTGTGCAATAATAATGATGCAACACGAGAAGATGGTATATCTGTGTGTGTGTGTGTGTGTGTGTGTGTGTGTGTGTGTGTGAGTGTGTGAGTGTGTTATTGTAGGTGATATTTTACCACACATCATCTGGACGTTTAGGTGCGAATTGCATAACAGTAAGTTGGGCTTGACAAAGAGTCAGCTGTTTACCATTTCCTCTTTTCTGCTCAACAAGAATGGGAAAGAAAAGACGAATGGTGTGTGTGTGTGTGTGTGTGTGTGTGTCTTTTGTGTTTATGGAAAAACTCTTGGATCTTTTATTTCAACTCGTGAAAAATGGGAGTAAAGTCAAAACTGTTGCATTTATATTTTTGTTCAGTATATTTTATCATTTCTACATTGAGGGAACGTGCTGTTAGCATTTGGTAAAAACTATCACCTATGCTTCATCTTTGGAGGCAGTCAATAATTCACTGGTTCCAGCTTCTCACATGTGAATGTCTGCTGGTTCTCTTGCTCTTGATATTAACCTAAACATTTTGTGTTTTGGACTGTTGGTGGGACAAATCAAAAAATTTGAATATGTCAACTTGGGCTTTGGGCATGTGATGTGATGTGATGTGATGTGATGGGCATTTTTTTTTTACTCTTTCTTGCACTTTATCAACTAAATAACTGATCAGCTAATCAATAAAATAAAAGACGGATTAATTAATAATGAAAATAATCATTAGCTGAATCCTTAAGCCAATATCTTGTTCTATCTAAGTTTGCCTCTTACCATTTCTGTGCGTCTTCATGTGGCCCTTGAGGCTGCTTTTCTGATTGAAGCACCTCCCGCAGATATGGCACCCGTACGGCTTCTCCCCGGTATGAATTCGCAAATGTCTTTCCAGATGGCCGGCGCGCTCGAAGACCTTGCCACAGTACGAGCAGACGAAGCACTTCTTCGGTTTGATCACCTGAAAAGACCTGCTTCTCCTCTGCCGGTGGTGATTGAGCGAGGCGTCCGCCGCCATGCCACGTAAGCCTGCTTCACTTGACATCAGCAGCGTGTCTAACGACCCGCAGGGTGCTTGGGAGATCATGCTGTTTTTTATCTCCCCGTACGCTTTCCCCGGGAAGGGGAAGGCGCTACAAGAAGCTTCGACTGGTGACGGGAGTAACTGAGCCATCCCGGGGAAGGATGTCATATTCTGCGCCGAGCCGCCGAGATATTCTATACTGCTCATCTCTGTGCTGTTCTGTCCTTGTAATCTGGAGATCCACTGCTGGCCGTCCCTCTCAAACGCTGTAAAGTTTTCACCGAGGGTGTCTCCTCCTTCCTTTGTCTGCTCACTTCCTCCATGAAACAGCGGCTGTGTTACGTTCTCCTCGACCGGCTCAGATTTGACCTGTACAGGTGTTGGGAGCATGTCCTCGTTCTTGGGTAGGCCATCCTCAGCTTTGATCTGGCTCTCTTCCTCGGGGCGATGTGTGTCGGTGCGCGGATTCACCTCGGGAATTTGCTTCTGTTCGCCTACTTGGACCTCAACTGGTCTGGGCTGAATACCTGTTTAAGAAGAGAGAAGTTATCACGAGCATCTTTAACACCTACATCCAAAGCAGTCATTAGCTTTTTACCATTAACTCGAACACTTTTCAGAAATGTTGGCGGCCCACATCCGACCCCCCGTGACAGAACGGAGGCCAAATAAAGACTTCTCAGAGAACTTCTTATTTTAATGATAACGACTGAACATTCAGGATTGAACTGAAAGCAGGAGAAGGACAATATTATTTTATTTTTGTTTGTCTCCTCACATCGAACTGATAACTCCTCCATAACCTTTAAGTTTATATCAGTTTTACTTTGTACTTTAAATAAATATTTATTCACATATGGGTTTAAAAACAAAAACAGCTGACGTAAAAAACGATTTAGTAGAAGTTTAATTTTTTTTTTTTTTTACTGCCACTTGGAAAATAAATATTGGGGAAAAAAAATATGAAATCTGTATTTATCTGTCAACATGCCTGTAAGAACAACAGGTCATGTCTTGTATGCCAGCAGGGGGGCGGGGGTATAGCTCTTACAGCCCCACTGAAGATCTCAGTTAACGCAATGCAGAGAAAAGTAGTCCGACGTGTTGGGAGAATGATCACGGCACCAAACCTTCGGAGGAGGAATGTGTGGAAGAATTTTGGAGTGAGCGGCACAGGTGGAAAAACTTGTGGATAATGGCGAAGCTGTTTGCTGTAACAGCTTTACAGTATTGAAGCTGCAAAAATAAATCTGAAGTCACATGTTAGCTTAGTCACTCCAGTGTGGCAGCAGAGGTGCATCAACTTTACAATGTTAGCCTAGGATAAGTCACATGGGTTAATTTTTTGAAAAATTAACAGCTTTAAAAGCTGAAAAAAATACACATTTTTATGAAACAAAACATGAACATTTAGGGAAGAAAAACAGAGGAGCGATTTCACACAGAAAATGCCATTTACTGTATTTTTGGAGCGTGACAATGGTTCAGACCATCATTTACCAACTACGGAAAGAGATGCATCACAATCTCAGTGGTTTACCAACTCTGCTAAACAGTTTCCTGTGGGAAATCCTGTGAAGATGTACTTTGTTGGAAGGTGCTCTTTTGGTCAGCAATTCACTTCTCAAGCACAGACGCCACTTACTTGCCGCTTATTGCTACGCTACGATTCGCAAAACTAAAGAGTAAAGTACCTGAAATGTCTTGAGGGTAATTTATTTCACAGCTGCACTGCATGAACATGAACTGAGACGTGACCCCAGTCATTAATATCTAATAGACCGTAGAGAGGACAGTCAGTCGCATCCAGCTGTCAGCGAGGAACTTTCAAGCCCCCCCCCCCCCCCCCAACCCTCCTTTTACTGTCATCTTGCCTAAACCACATAGTTTTTTCCTCTGCTTACTGTGACACGGAGGAATGTCACAGCCAGAGACTTCCGACTGTGAACTGAACCGAGACAAGAAGACAAAAATAACATGCAGAGAAATACAACTAGCTGCCAACCTGTCAGGGAGGTTTGGAGGACCTTCAAATTAAGAGATTCCTCACATCAATTCTATTACAAATCTAAAATATTTTAAACTTTATTTAAAAAGTCCAAAGGAGATTTTTTACAATTTATACAATTGTCCAGTTAATTGTTAACCCTCTAAGGTCAACGGATGTTTCTATTATAATATCTTACTATAATAAGATATAAAAATTTCCTTGCAATAATAAAGCACAGAAATATGGTTTATGTAATGTCTAGAATCTGTGACTCACAGGCGGAGCTAGAAGCCCTCTAAGCAGGCCTCAAAAATTTGGTTAAAGTAGAGTTCTAGACAACACTTTTCATTTTAGACGTTTATTATACATTTATCTACTATTTTACTCACATGTTGCACTATTATTATCAACATAAAACTTTGGTAAACCAATTTCAAGCACCAAAACAATTCATCCATATCAGCAAAGGTTTGTTTTCACAATAGATTTGAAGAATTCCAAAAACCTGGGCTTCAATTTTTCAGCGTTTGGTGAAATCATCTCTCTGCACAGTGTAAAGAGGGTCAGAAAGGGGCCTCGTTATAGAAGGGGATGAGATTGTTCTGAAAATTGTGATATAAACACTTGGGTATTACCTCATATGCAAGTACTTTAAGAGATAATCGAGAAAATACCCTTAGACCTCAGAGGGTTAAATATAAAGCCTGTGACCCTTATTGGGGCATTTAAATTTGAGGCCCAAACATCCTGTGAGCCTAATCCTGTCCTGCTGGAGAATCCTTGAGGGAGACACTAAATCCCCACCAGCTCCACAGCCAGAGGTCCTGACCTCCATGAGCAGGGAAACAGAAGAAGAAGAATGTCTCCATTTTCAAATGCGTTTTCAGACATTAATGCAGAGGGTATTACCTGAGTGCACAGACTCTTTTGCAGTAACAACCTGCTTTGCATGTACATCTATTCAAACTGAAACCTGACAACTGCCAAGTATAACAGTCTTCAGGGTTTCCTTGTAATGAGCTTCAGCGGCGACTCTACAGGTAGTTGTTGAAAAAAAAAAAAAAAAAAGAAAGAAAAGCCAAAGTATTTTACTTACATCTCCGATGAATCTTCATGTGCTCCTTGAGGCTGCACGTCTGATTGAAACGTCTCCCACAAATCTCGCAACGATACGGTTTCTCGCCGGTATGAATCCTTTTGTGTCTCTCGAGGTGCCCGGCGCGCTCAAAACATTTGCCACAGTACGGACAGACGAAGCCTTTCTTAAACATCAACCTCTTCCTCCTCCGCACAATGTTGTACAAGTTACGGTACTGACTGTGACCCAGCAGCCCGCGGCCGAACGGGCTCTGCTGAAACCCGCCGGAGCTGCTGCAGGGCACAGCCAGTCCAGAGTTCAGGGAGGATTCAGGGAGACACGACAGGGAGTTCTGCCCTAAATTTAAATAATCGGAGTTGTTGCGTCCTGTCTCGTTTTGTGTCGTCGATCTCCACTGCCCACTGTTCCCCTCGTACAGTCCCAGCTCCTCTCCCAGCTGATCAGCTTGCCCTCTGGCCTCCACACCTCCCTGTTCCATGGGTTCAGGTTTAACCTGGACCTCCGGCATGGACAGGCTGTTGTGGTCCTGGTCAGCGCACACATTTTCAAGCGAGGTCCTCTCGTCAGCGGTGGCACTCTGACTACCTGTGGAAAGACAAGTGTTATTTATTAGCCTCTAATGTTTTAATGTCATAGTTAAATATGTGAATTAAAGTTGTTTGGTAACCTCATTCGGACGCGTTTAGCAGCAGAAGAAAATAATGTTAATGACCACCCACGATTCCAATAATACCAAGCATTGCACGACTTTTGTGATCCTCCGTCTCAACTATCTCACTCTTAAATCTCACACTGTTCCGGTTTCAAACTAGGTTTAGGTGAAATCTACAAAACTGTTTCACAACAATTTCCCAAAAACATGACAACTGCTGTGCTTTTCAGACGGAAGTAAACCAATGTAGTGCTATGAGGGGCATCACTCTATCATATGACCAACAATCCATCAGTAAATGACTTTGTAGGTTGGCGTTTGTTGATGGGTGAGCATGCATTTAGAGATGCAACAATCCGTCAAATAATGGATTAGTGCATCAGCGGAACTTAAATGTACGTAACCGTCATTTATCAAGGAAAAGGTCAAATGAAAATAACTGTTTATGGCTTCAGAGAGTGATGAGAGAAAGAAGAGGCGAGAATCACCTAGGGGCTTTTTGCACTTCCTGCACAGGACATCTAATTCTCAGCTACACCCATCAGAAAAAACATTGTGGTTGACACAGTAGATAAAGTAACAGAATCCCTTTAAGAAGCAGTATTTGTCTACATCTTACAAATGTAAATATCCCTTATAGTCCTGTAAGTTTTTACTAATGATGCTGTTTCTCTTTGTAGAAGCAGATATGGCATATTTGGAGCTGTCTCATGCACAGCTGACTGACATCTTTCATAATCAAGTCGATGCTTTTGGCATTCAACCACCTATATAGTAATGTTTATGACTGATGAAATTGCAATGTTCAATCTGCCCCTTGCAGACAGACTGGGCTGATAAGTTTGGTGAAGCAGGGATCCTTAAAAAGGCAAACACAGATGTCAGATTACTGTCAAGAAAACAGAGATTTGTGGATTTCCATCTCAAGGAAATCTAGTCGTCATAGATCCTGCACCGATGTAACGGTATTTAGCTCCTACAGTGCTGTGCAAAAGTTTTCAGCATTTTAGATGTTGAGATTTTCCATGAGGGAGGTGTCCGATCGGTCACAAATTCCCAAGCCAGAGTCTTGATTATTATGATGATTATGAATTATCATCAGAGACAAGAAGAACAGAATCCTGCAACAGATGGTCTGGTCCTTATCTCTTCATCATGGGGTCAGTCTGGGATTACACAAAGATCTGAAACAGTGCACAATTGTCCTGAGAACTGGTGCTGCTTTAAAGGCAAAGGGTGGTCACACTAAATATTGATTTGACTTTTTCTTTTTTCCTGTTGCCTGCAATTTGAATAAAGTTGAATGATAAAAAAAAAAAACTACTCATGGCATTATTTTTTGAAAGTATCCTCAGTTTACTGTAAAACTTTTGCACAGCACTGCGTGTGTGACATGAGTGCATCCCAGTAAGAGGTATCCCAGGTCAAAGTGGTGAGTAGATGTGTGTTTTTGGTTCGTCTCCATCAGGTCCATCTTACCATCTCTCACATAGGTGTCGGGTCGCAGGGTCACCCTGTCCTGCGCCGCTCTCAGCTCGCTGTGGAGAACCTCCACGCTGCTTTTCAGCTTCTTGATCTCATTCTCCCGCTGACACATTTCCAGCCGCAGCACCACCATGCCGTCCTCCACAACTTTGGAGATTTCTGCCACGGCCGCTTTGGACAGGGCATCGATGATGGAGGCGATCTGAGCCCGCAGAGCGACGCTGCTCACCATTGTGATAAACCAAGCAAGTGACAGGGAGACCTGAAGTTTACAGCGAGAGAAGTGGCCCGACCGTCCGAGGCGAGGCTGTTAAGTCGGTCGCCCCGGTAAAACGAAACGGGTCATTGCCGGAGCCACCGACTGTACACAGACCGCAGCTATACGGTGAGCTTGACGTTAGGTTTAATGTGTGGCGCTTTCTGCTAACAGCAACTAATTGGCACAAAGAATAATCTCGTTAACGGAAGTGATGACACAAAACCGTAAAAACGGGACAATGGACGCAACGTATATTCCCGAGGCACTTCCGAGGTTAGGCTTTAAAAAAAAAAAAAGAGTTAACCAACCAAGATTAAGAAAAATGACGATAACATACATGTCTGGCACCTATGAAGCCTAATGCATTCACCTAAAAAATTTAAGAGATGATCATGTCGTTAATTCAGATTCGGTTTTTTAATTAAATAAATAAATAAATAAAATTCCTGCTGTTTTTTTGAATTAATAACATAATTATCTGAAAATTCTGAGAAGCTTTCTTAAAAAAAAAATTCAATAAGTTCAAAAAGTTCAAAAAGTTAATTCAGAAAAACAGAGCAGATTTTTTTCCTTAAGTGAATGCATTATGCTTCTGTGGGCACCAGTATAAAACATGGAGGACAATAATCCAAGCAACAGTAACCTATATAATACAGAAGAAAAATAATTGAATTAATTAAATAGAGTAGAAGATTAATAGGAGAAATATAGTATTATACAATAAAATTGCAACACCCCACATTAAAACACAGTGGAGGTCATTTGACAACCATTAACTCACTTTATTTATTTTTTTCTTTATGAAAGCCCCCCCCCCATAAAATGCCATGCAATTCATTAAACCAAATTGTTAACTCATGTAAGGTCAAAAGTAAATAAATAAAATAAACAATAAAAACTAATAAATAAGTATAGCACGTACTATAATGAAAAAAGTTATAGAAAAAGAAGAAGAAAAAAGTCTACAGACAAAAGATATAAACTATGTGCAAATATAAAATCAAATACATTATTGCATAGGTACACACCTCACACCGCCTTTACTAGGACACGCTTAAATCATTACTTCTGCACCGTGAAACTGTTTTTAGAGGCCACATAATGAGTTCAACGTATGACAACTGATTTTAGGTTAAATACACAGTCTGTACCTGGACGGTCCAACAGCTGGTCAGTTGGTTTCCTATCAAAAACATAACACAAATCATGAAGACTAACAAACATTAGAAAGGTAACAGTTAGGGGGGCGATACCTAAAAACGTGCAAGGCACTGGAACACTTCAGAGCACAGTAAGGTCTTACTGTTACTGATCCATTGTAGAGATATCTGCCGATATCTGTGCTCTCTTTTTCTAAAGTCAAACGCAGTATACCTCACAGCGTGGAACTTATAGGATTCATTTTTATGTAAGGTATGAAGGTGAAGATAAAGCAAGAGATTGCTGTGGCACTAAAAACTGAGTTGGCAGCCCAATTTGACTGAACTGCTGGTGGAAACACTATATTTTATGATATTGAGAGATAAACTTTCTTTATTTTGGATTGGTCATGTTATGGCAGATAACCCACCCACTTAATTAAAAAAAAAAAAACTGTTGCGCAGCTGTAAAACTGTCCATAGAAGACCATACAGTCCAGGTATGGCTGGGTGATATGACTATATATAGTTATATATTGAGAGATTTTGTCATACCATTTGTACCATGGCTTCTGCGCCTGTATCAGACCGGTGATTTCCAACCTTTCTTACTGTGGTCTTAATACGGTGCAACATCTACTTGTGTCACATTGTCACAGTTTGCATGTCTGTGACTTTGTGAGCAATTTCCCTTCTCCACAGTCAGTTTCATTTGAATCATTTTAAAAGAGGTAAAACTATCCAGTATTTTATGTTAAAGAATTGTTAAAGAAAGTCCTCAATTTAGTTTTTTTTTTTTTTTTTTTTTTACTATTCCATAGCCTGGTAATCTTCTTGGGAGCATTACGCAAAATGTTGCAAATCCATAAGCTGCTTTATGTCAATGTTGGAATTTCATATGACTACATTGATGCAATGTATATTAACTTGCCACGTATTTCATTTACTGGATTAGCTTCTTAGTTTCTCATTTGAGTTCTTCATAAAAGTTAGTATCACTTTGTATCTCAATGTACCATTACAAATCATGTTATAATGAGTTCTAACCGTCATATTGCCAACTCTTTGTTCAGGTATATTAAACTAACCAAACCTGTCAAAATGTCTTGATGATGGGGGCGTCGAGTGGCGCAGTGGGTTGAGCAGGCGCCCCATATGTAGAGGCTACAGTCCTCGCTGCAGTCGGCCCCGGTTCGAATCCCGCATCCCGCATCCCTTTACTGCATGTCATTCCCCCTCTCTCTGCCTCCCCATTTCCTGTCTCTCTCTACTGTGCTATCCAATAAAGGCATGAAAAGCCCAATATATATATATAAAAATGTCTTGATGATGTGCCAAATTAATTGAAAGTCAACTTGAAACTGTAATTTTCACTTGGCAATCTTCCTGTACTCTCAATGTCGAGATAACTGTAACTCTCGGTAAATAACCCCACGCTATGATTCCAGTGATACATGATAAAGAATGGATCTCATTCTTGACTGTGAGAAAATAAAGTTCTACCATCATATGTGGTATACACAGGTTTGAACAATTAATACATTTAACTAAAATCACATTTCCAACCTCCTTGTCTTGCCCCATGAAATGCCCGGTGGACATTTTTATGACTGTATTCAACGCACTAAAACCGTCAAAGTACCCGGCAAAATAAATATGGGTTTGTGCAAATGCTCCGAAGTCTTACAGAGTGTCTCTGAGAGACCCAGTATCTGAGCGCTATCTTCCTTGCAGGTGAATCTCTTGGTGTATTTTGAGGTTACCTAGCACTGTGAAGCTTTTACCACACTGCCCACAGCTGTACGGCTTCAGGCCGCTGTGGAACCGTTCGTGTCTCAGGCAGTTGTCCTGCCTCGAAAACATTTTGCCGCAGATTTTACAACTGAACGGCCTCTCTCCCGTGTGCACACTTTGGTGCGTCTTCAGCCGGGTCTTCTGGGTGAAAGACTTGCCGCATTCAAGGCACCTAAAAGGTTTGAAGGGTTGGTGGGTGGCCTTGTGCTCCTCCAGCTGAGACAAGCGCGGAAAACCCTTGTTGCACACAGAGCAGATGAAGAGTTTCTGATTTGTCCTCCACAGATTCATTACTCTTTTTGCCCGCAGGTTGTTTCTACTGTAGATGTAATCCTCTGTGTCTTCTGTGGACTTCGGGACATGAGGCAGGGCTCGTGACGGCCCGGCCCGCTGCGAAGCAGACAGTTGCAACCGGGGGTCCTGACTGACTGCAGGGCGTGAAACATGTTGAAATGGTTCATTATGAACAGGCTCTGAAGCGGTACCTCCCATGCACATAGGAGGAATCTCTACCTCTACTTTTATCGGCACACTTAAGGAATCTTCTGCGATTTCCTCTGGTGCAGCTGATGAAGAGTTAAAGGAGCTTTCTGCATTTCTGTGAGCAGACAATTGCTCAGCGTGAGAAGGGAAAATCTGTATGCGCTGCTGAGCTGCAACAGAGCTTTCCTCAAACATGCTACAAGCAGCAGGAGGCCATACTGGGTCATCTTGCTCTCCCGCCTCAAAGTTAAGATTAGTGGCTGCTGTTGCAGTGTTGTCTGTTGTTTCCTGGACTGCAAGTTCATCTGCTGGCTCATGTTTCACTGCTGGCCTCATGTCATGGCTCTCCTCTGTCCCATCACAGAGTGAATCAGTAGTCTTTGGTTCCCGATACACCTCACATGTTTGCTGATCTTCTTTTTCATCTGCAATTGAAAGAAAAAAAAATTGAATTGAAGGTACACATGAATTTGACTCTTAGCTCCAATAATGCAAATGTAAGTCAATAATCCAAGAACACAATTATTAACTAGAACAGTACAACCCCACAGCTATTTACTTACCCTGTCTATTGGAAGGTGTCCATCTCTGAAAGAACATGAGGAGACATCATCTGAACACTAACGATTCATTTCTTAACATAGCATATGTCCAGTGCACCAACTTACTTTAAGAAACACACTACTTTCATGATTGCATTCAGTCAGTTCATCTACTGAAAACAGATCCAAATTTTCAGAAATGATTATATGTGAGGTTAGAACATAATTGCAATAAAATACACAGTAAAAACAAAATAACATAAAACTCTTTCAGAGAATACATAAAAGTCATGTTTATGTTTATGTTTATGTTTATGTTAAACTATAAGATCAGAAAACAGTCAATTAATCAATATGTAACTTGACAATAAACTGATTTACATCTATGACAGTCAATTCATTATTTCAGGCATTTTTATTAAAGAAAATGCCAATGTGAAATCAGGACTTTTCCTCTTCCTGTCTTTTGTGATAGAAAAGTGCATATCTGCTGGCCTGGACAAAACAAGCAATCTGAGGAACTATAGGCCAGTTTCACATATATTAAAATGATCGAATAATCTTTAAGCCGAATTTCACAGGAGACCATAAAAATTCGTTAAGGATCTCTAATCATGTTCTACCGGTTGAGAAACGTTGTGGACAAGCATGTGAATTCTGAATTGAGGACATTTTAAATGAAGTTTGGTGTGAAAGTGCTATCCAGACCCAGATGAGCTACCTTAAGTGTTTCTCACCTTTTGGAGGGACCTGACTCCCGGCTGTTGTTCGCTCCTGCTTGTCCTCTGTAGCTCGTGTCATGGCTGCTTCTTGAGCTTTGCAGAGTTCAACCTCCATCAGGTTTAAACTTCTTTTGAGCTCCTCGATCTCACTGTCCTTCCGACACATCTCCAGGCGCAGAACCACGGTCCCGTCCTCCATCAGCTTCGTTATTTCGGCGACCGCAGCTTTCGCTAACACATCCATGATGGCTGCGACCTGCGAACCAAATGAAGAAGGGAAAGACATCCTGCCGAGTCAAAATAATAACTTAGTGGACACAAATTCAGAGCTTTGTTTAACGACCAGAGCTTCTGCAATGAGGAGAAGCGCCTTCCCATCTGTTTTATTTTGGTTTACTTCCGGGAAACTTAGATGGCGGATGTGACGTCTAGGGCCGACAGACGTAACGTTTCTAATAAACGCTAATCACAAATGTCCTGCTATCAAGCTAAAATAAATTCTTTCTACTACTCTCTCCATCCTTACTCGTTAACAAGAAATTATCTCCATCAAACACAATTAAATAAATGTTGTTTTTAAATATAATGCATAGATTTAAATAGTTTAAACAAATAAAGTTAAAGAACAAAGTTGAGTTAAAATATAATAATAATAATTTCCCCTAGGAGATAAATAAAGTATCTATCTATCTATCTATCTATCTATCTATCTATCTATCTATCTATCTATCTATCTATCTATCTATCTATCTATCTAAAATGATGATAATAATAATAATAATAAAGAACATACGCCATCTTGGAAACACCTTTTTATTCACATATTTTAAAAACATTAAACATTATATTTATTTCAAATGGCACATTCTATTCATCCCTGGTCTTTCAAATCTACTATTTAACCACATTTCTGCCAATCTTTTCTTAATACATATACTATATAAATACATATACTTTATATAATTACAAAGTATTGTATAATTATAGACGACTAGTGCAAACAGGAGTGAGCTGGAATTGAGGTTTATCTTTTTGCTTTTATCAAAATTGAGTTGTCCAGTTGTGGCATGTTTTGTTTTTCCAGCCCTCGAGTATAAAAGCTGTGAAAGTTTAGGGTTTAAATTTTTTATTTTTTTTAAATGGCAGTTTATCCAAATGGTTTGTAAAATAAGGAGCAGCATTTCACCTTTAATCCCACCTCACTGTGTGTTTGCTTTCAGTTTCCATGTTTTATTTCACTTAATATCAGTAAAATCACAATTGGAGTGTCCCTGTGGCCTAGGGGTTAACGTCCCTGATTTGACTCCAGCCAGGGACCTTTGCTACATGTCACCCCCCATCTCTTTCCTTTCATTTCGCAGTCAGCTCTCTGCAGTTCTCTGTCTAACAAAGAGGTAAAAACCTATTTGTTTTCTGGCTGCGCATCAAGTTTGTGCGTGACAGAAAAACCACTTAAACATCTTTAGTAGCATTAGATAGACAATACTGTTGTTGTAATTTATACTGACATAAAATCCACATTCAATAAAGATAAAATACAGCCTTTTATGCAACACGTAGAAAAATAGTTTGTACAGAAAAATCAGTTTTACTCAATATACAGACAAAAAAACCTGCTCACTACACTTCACTTCCCCAGTCCCTCTGCCTCTCCTTCTCCTTCTCGCACTCTTTCTCTTTTTCTCGCCTCATGGTTGCTATGGCAACAGCCTCGTCAAAGCACATGCTGTGGGGACTGTTTCTGCTTGCGTCCCTCGCAGCACCTTCATCCCCATCCCTCCTCCTCTCCCTCTCTCTCTCCCCTCCATCTTTCCCCTGTTCCGCTGCACAAACTCTGTCCTGCTCTGTCTGGACTTTCTGCCTGGTTTCCCTCCCTCTGTCTGCATCTCGTCTCTCTCTTTGCTGCTGCTGCTGGCGCAGGGTCAGGGCAGTGATTTTGCAGTGCTGAGGCTTCGGAGGGACCACCGGCACCGCTTTCACTTGGTAAACTTTCGGGTTTTTGGACACAACCAGCTTCCTACCTACTGCTCCTTGACTGCTGTCACTGTCCTCACACTTAGGTTTCTTCATATCAGACCTGGCCTCTTTTATCTGCTTATCTACACTTGGCGGTGATCTGAGTTGCTCATGAGCTCTCTCCTGGTCACAGTTCTCCTTTTCTGTCTCTTTTGAAACCACTTCTTCTCCGTGACGATGACATGCTTCTTTATTGACCGCATGCTTCCTTTGAATTGCTTCTCCTAGTTCACTTGTCTCTCTTTCCTCAGACTCTTGCTCTATCTCTGGGTCTGAGTCCTCCTCCACCTCTGGTTTAACTTCTGTCTTGTTTGCCCCTCCTTCCTCCACTTGCACTATTTTATCTCCGGAAACCTTTTCTTTCTGCTCTTCCTCCTCTCCAACTTTTTCTACGCCTGCAACACCATCCCTCTCAGCCTGCTCACTTTCCTCATCCTCGATCACTTCACATATAACATCCTCAAGTTCCTCCCAAATTTCACTGCTACATATTTCACTATCCTGCTCTTTGCCACCTTCGTGCATCTTTTCTTCATCTTTTTTGTCAGCTATTCCTTCTTCACCGTCTTCGGTGGGATCTTCCAACATCTTCTCATCACTTTCTTTTATTTCAAGAACCTTTTCTTCACATATTGCCTCTCTCTCTTTGCATACCCTCCCGTCCCCTCCCTCATCACTGTGTCTCTCTTTCATATCCCCTCCATCACAGGTTCTGAGATCTTCTCTGGATTCCTCTAATGAAACATCACCAATTTCCTGTGTTGTATAAATATCTGTGTGACAAGGTGGATGATCACTGTGAGGGTTCTCAACCACTTCCTTCTCATCCTCGACCTTGATAGTGCTTAACTCATCAATGTCATCATCGCTTGGCGGTCGAAACTCCATGCAGCAGTGTGATGACGTGTCTGAAGTCGGATGCTTTTCTTTTTCTCTTTTAACATCTTCCGTGATGTTGACATCTTCCTCTGCTGTCATGCTGCAAATGGATGACAAATAGAAACAGCTAAGATAAATAAGTGGGCATTAAGAAGATATCCTGCTTTTCAGATGAAGATTTAGGGGTGTGTAAGGTTACATTTCATTACATTTCCTTGGGCATTGGACAAAACAGTTGCTTTGTCCAGTCTTGTTCATTTATGAGATTGTGTGGAAACTGTTTATTTGATGTTATTTGGGAGAACTTTTTATATATATATATTTATATTTATTTATGTTGAGCTAAATGTACTGTGTGTTCTACTTCGTGCTAGGTAACAGCCACCATGTGTAGACCTTTTATGTCATTATAGCATCTGTTAAGTTTTACTTTAGAGAAAGAATAGATAGTCATGGTGGTTATTGGTGCAGTATATGTGCTGCTTAAGGTCAGATCCAGGGAAAGAGGGGGGTGGCAACAAGAATTGATAGACTATGTAAGGTAAAGTTGTAATTATGGTAAATGCTTAAATAAATGCAGCAAAAGTAAAAGAGTTAAAGTCATTTAAGTAACTTAAAAATGTCAGTTATACAGCAATATCTCTCTAAAACCACTGACTGCCGGTCGTACCAGACCAAATCAGGCTGTAGTGGCAAAACCCCTTTAGTGCATGGAACTCTGGGTGAATTTTATTGCTTATGAATTAAAATGTTCATTTGTATGGAGAAGAATATGTTATTTTTCCTTTCAATAATCTCACTTTAAACTGGCCAGATACAGTCACAATGTTAATGTACTCATAGGGCAGATATGGAGCAACATTAGCGTTTATTTGGTGTCAAGTTTGCGTCTATATGACAAATGTAGTTTCAATATCCCACTCTACTTTGAGCTCTGATTTGATTCCTACTAACTCCTAAGAGAAATACACTTCTTCACTAAAGCTTGCATTAATGTTATGAACTGACGACTTACACGCATTTTTAACCGTTGGATTCAGATGTATTATGTAAAAATGTAAAATAGGAACCAGTTTCACCTTTGCATATGGTTTTCTGGTTGCTCTCCTTGCTTATCATGTGTGTCTTCCTCTTCCTTATTCATCATCTGCTTTCCCTCCAGTCCTTCTCTATCTTCTTCATCAATCACTCCTCCCTGTTCCTGATCTCCAGCGGCCGGTTCTTGAGAGTGCAATGTCTCAAACTCTCCCTCCTCGGAGCTCTGTGATGGATCAACAGGAAGTCTATCTTGGGTGCAACTGTCTTGTGCATCAGTGTCTAGTTCCAACCCGGATAGACTGCTTAATAGGAAATCAGCAGGAAGGCTTTTATAAAACATGCTCTCATCTTCTTCGCTGCTGTAATCATCGTTATCACCGTGGTCCCCTTCATCCTCCTCTTCAGAGCTAGACTCGTCCGGTCCGTGGACAGGTGAGGTCATGTAAGGTAAGCTGAGGGATTTAGTGTGTCGGCTGTGTAGGTCGAGGCTGAGCGGCCTGTGTGGTTTTAACTCGTTTGGACTCTGGGTGGGTGTTTCAGGGTGTGGCAGCGGCTCTGCAGCGGGAGGAGGAGGCGGAGCTTGCACCATGACTTCATACTCATCGTCTGAGTGACCTGGAGGTTCGACGGAGAACTCGTTCACCTATGAGGTTAAGAGAAACATGAAGTGAAATATAAAATTTTCTTCATGAAAGCCTTCTCAGATCCTGACAATCCTGCTCTGACTGCTGGTTCTCTAAAGGTGAAAAAAATGTAACTTTTCTCAAATTATTTTTTCTATTATCTTATGCATACATACTGCGTCTTATGCTCCATGTGTTTGGAAATACTTGCAACCTTCAAATACCATTCAAACCTCATCTGTATAGATATAACAACACAAACCTGATAGGATGTGCTGCAGTCCATATGGTCCAGGACGCTGCAGTCCATTTGGTCCAGGAAGTCAAAGTTATCTTGAACGTAGCCAAACAGCTCCTGGTTGTCCCCTTCCACTTCAGTTGAGTTGAGGATGTCAGGAGCATCAAATGCACAGGTGTCTTCGGGCTGAGTCACCGCTGGCTGAGGATCATCTCGTTCCACCCCTTTCATTTCTGTGAATTAAATATAGGCATATAACATTAGAGATGGGCTGATGAGTGTAACATTTATATGGTTAGTTATAAAAGAATAAACTCAAATTCCAAGAATGCTGGGTTAAAAGAAACCAGTTCACGGTCACAAGGACAAGAAAATATCAGATAAAGATTTGTGTCTCTCTAATAGAAAGGCTCCAGCTAAAGAAAGACCAGGAAAAAAAAAGTCAAATATTACCTTGCACTTGTCTGTGCATTGAAATTTTATAGTATTTCTGTTCATCATGGTTATTCAGTGTCAGTTGTCAAGTCCCATTGTCTATCTATTCCTCAATTATTTATATTATTAGTTCG